AGTCTGAAAACAAGATCAAAAAGACTTTTTGGCTGATATAAGATTTTAAAACTTGGTTAGGTGGACAGTTTTTGTATTTTCTTTCATTTAACATCTTATTGCAGTGTACATTTCATCAGCTAAGTTGCTAAACGTTCTTTTAAAAACAAATCTTTGGTCCGTAGTTATTTCCAAACTGCGCCGACTCGTTAAAAACATAAAAGCTCCACCATCTTCATTTCTCTGTTTTGCTGCATTGAATCCTGGGATWTCCTCGGCTGGTGAGGATACACGGATGCATCCTTGGATTTCGACAGGAAGTAGGACACATTTCTCGGCCGCATGATGAGGAGCCTTCATGCAGGCCAGTGACGTGTGCAGCTGACAAATGTGCACTCAGGAGGACCCAGGCCCTGGACTGAGACACAGTCTGTGTGTTTCTGTCAGAAGTGGAGCCTGCTGGCTGTTTTTACATCATTATGAGTCTAAATGTGGCAGAGAGCCTGATAAAAACGTACAGCTCAGCTTGAATGGTTTAGACTGGTTTCTTTGACTCTTTTTCTGTAAAACATGGGGTCGCATTTCCACTTGCATCCACCCCCTAGGTGGTTGGCTACAGTCCTACGAGCGTTCTGATGAGTAATAATCTTCCAGCTGTGATCAGAGGAGCATGAAGCTGTTTGGAGATCTATAATCTGCTCTCTGAGCTCCTCACATGAAACTTGATGTGTAATATTTAGTGTAATCRATCCATGTTTGAGTATTTGTACTACTTTATACCTGTGTACCTTAAATGTAAACTGGATTCTGGGTCTTSGTGCTTTGTGATGCTGAGTTTCTGGGTTTAAAAAGCTTATAATTATTTCTCCTCCACAACAAGCACTGATCTATCAGCCTGATAACTGATCAGTTCTTCCTGTTTCTCCACCTGAGTCATTCAGAGTGGGAGTGGCCCACAGATCACCTGCAGGTTCAGAGTGGGAGTGGCCCACAGAACACCTGCAGGTTCAGAGTGGGAGTGGCCCAGAGAGCACCTGCAGGTTCAGAGTGGGAGTGGCCCACAGAACACCTGCAGGTTCAGAGTGGGAGTGGCCCACAGAACACCTGCAGGTCACACAGGGTTTCAGGTGAAAAGCCTTTTTTTAGTTTTTTATAAGGTTCACAGTTTCAATAAAATCTGCCAGAGTTTCCNACAGTATGCTGTATACAGCAGCAGTACACAGACCGCCTCTGGAGGAGGGAGCTGTATGAAGGAGGTGTGTTTTATCGTCTCTGACTTCACGGAAGAGATCATTGAACCCATCAGAACCCGACCCTCCAACCGAACCGACTGAAGGTCGAACCGGGAGCGATCAGACCGGGAACACCTCTCTGTCTGCGGCAGGACGCTCGCTGTTGGTTCGACGGACATGGGACCGGAGCTGCCCTGAAAACCGCAGCCGAGCACCGGAGGAGCCGAGGACCGGAGGAGCCGAGCACCGGAGGGAGGGAGCGGGAGGAGGCGACACCATGGCCCACGTTGGCAACGGAGCGTCCGGGGAGGAGGAGGTGAGTCTCCGGTTTCAGCTCGGTTCTGTCTGGATCTGTTCTGGTTTCAGCACCAACATAAACTACAGACATAATCTATAAACATTATCTTTATTCTTATTTTAAAGGCCTGATGTGTCTCAGGG